AATGTGCGGTTAAAGAATTATGGCAAACTTTTGAGAACTTTAAATATCGGGACTGCTTAGCTACAAAACATTCTTAATATTTGATATGAATACTCGCACACATTTTCGTAAATTATTCGCAAGGATGCAAAGATCTTAACAACACAAATGTGTGAATGTCAATAAATTCTTATCGGTCTTAGTCAGGAATTGTGGATTTTTGCATCTTATTCACTTGCATATATTACGGAGGTTGAACGATACGCCAGAAAATGAGCTTCTAGAAATATTGCAATATACATGAGCTTTTAGAAAGACCCTATCTTAGCATTAGTGCATGTAAGTCTGATTTTACTTAGCGACAGTTTCAAAAAGAATTTGAATAAATGGTAACTGAGTGCAAGTACAGTTCAATTAGCGAATGGGAAACTGTATTAGACAGTGACAAAAAGATGCCAAGACTTAAACTCAAATCCAACGAACGACCACATAGCGTTTTGTTGTCCGATAGTTGGAATGTTCCCAAAATCGTGGAAACAAAATATTTTTTACATATTCTATGCCCCGTTAATGATAAAAAAACTCATGGAACACAATGAACACATGTAGTTTATCAATGAAAGCTTACGTCAAAACCTTCAAGCACCTCTCTCTCTCTCTGGCTCTCAATTATGTCTAAAGCAATGCATTTCCTGTATGTTAATGCGTTTTTCAAGTTCCTACCCCATGCAAAACTTATCATCATTTCCAGAAGGAATGCAATTTAACGTTTTAAGAACTGTTGTGCGCGTATTGGTTGTTAGAAGAATTTGCATACGCAACTTTAATTACTTATGCATGTGTAGGCATGTGTTTACAAGTACAACTTATACGTGCAAACTACAAAAAGTTGGTCTTATTTCATCGGGGCCCGAAACCATTACAATGATCTGTTAGAAGGTTCCCTAAAACTCCCTATTAAACTGGTTAGAGTAGATGTACTCAACGTTTGAAAATTACCGCCGACAACTCACAATTTCTTCTTCTATCAATAATGTAAGAACCTTTTCAAATTGTTGATAAAATTTTAATGAGCCGATAAAAGATCTCCAATTAAATCACCAGAAATGAACCACTTTATTCTTAGTTAATCGAGAAACCTCATTAAATACATGTCTTCCATACTATGCAAATATTATCTTTGGCCATTGTAGCATTTATTCATTACATTTTATTAACACTAAGCTATTTTAAAACAAAAAATTTCCCTAAGGGTCAATTAGTGATTAACCCTTCGCTGCACAGTCGATACCATATAAAATAAAAAAGAAAAAAATTATTTGTTTTATATTAAATAAGAGTTTGCATAGAGATGAGAATGTTATGCGGCTTTATTATGAAGTCACTGGATGAATACAAAAAATAAAATCGTGCCATAGAAAACTGGGCAATCAACAAACACAAAAAACTAAAATTATATATAATCAAATATAATTTGCATAAACTTGTTAAATTCACAAAAAATATATGTTCAGGTTAAACCGAAAGTTTTATATACGTTACTACTTGATGTGAAAGCGAGAAATATCACGGATATCAGCACCTATAGACGGATATGCATAAATGTATTTGCATGATTCAAACAAAAAGATTCTTTATTTCTTTAAAGCATGAGTGCGCGTTTTAGAATCGCTTTTGCTCTTAAATCGCGTCCTTTTAGTATTTCTTCACAATGGAAGAAGCCATGTACACACTATAAGAAGTTCTTTATTGTTTTCTTCTATTTTCCACGTATTGTTACGGCACGCAGGGCCACCGTAATCCTTTCGTATTTGTCAAGCATTGTGCAAGTTAACAGGAAAAAGAAAACAGCACTCGTCAAACATAACTCTTAGTCTCTGGCTTTCTTTGCAATTCTTCGAATAGACTAAAAACACATGTTTTCAGTGGAATGGGATACTGTTTGTCTCACCGTTGCAAGACGAAAGCAGATTTTGCTATCCATTTCCACGAATCTTAGCTGGACGGGACTGATAGACAAGTTTGTTCCAGTTGTACATAGATTTAGATTGATCAAAAATATACATACATTACAGGCGTCTGCTGATGGGTTCCAGGTATTACAAATTGATTATATGTGGTCTTTGTGACCACAGCATTCTTGACATTTTACATTCTTCTTTTAAATCGTGTCATCTAGACATATAAAAGTTTGCAGTCAATTTACACTTTTTTGCTCTCACACCTATCAATTTCTTCATATAACATTTTATATTCATATAGCGCATTACATCTTACATATCGGATTTGCTTCATCCTCTTCTGTTCTATCCTACGTGGCGGACAAGTTGTATGCGTATTTGAATAAAAACTATAAAAAAACGTGGCGGACGTATGACACGTTAAATTAAAAAAAAAAAAAAACCGTTAATCAAATAATCCCTAAAACAAATAAATAATAATATTATATTCCAAACCGAACCTGAACTTTACTAAGCCCCAAACAAAGAACTCTGCGTTCACATTGGTCCTTTTTCACACATCCCAGTGAATTTTCGGTTGTTCTTCTTGTCTATTAAGCATGCACCTGAAAAAAATTTGTTTTTCATAATACAATACTTAAGGCGGCTACTTAACATCTTCCTACGATCACCGTAAGATTTCTTTCGCTGCTCAGATCTGTTTATCAACGCGCAACATGGTTGTCAATTTTCAGATTTGAGTTTCATAAAATGTACTTAGAAAATCTGGTTAAAATCGTAAACTCTATTGAAACGTGTACCGTTCTTTCAACAATTATTCAATTTTTTTTTTTTATTGAGTTTAATTGAAGTTAGCCGATAAGGATGGCTTAAATGTTCTCGCTAAACGACCTTAGTAATTTTGAACGTTAGGAGAGTCACGTAGATCAACGTTACCACACAACCTTAAACACTAAATTTTCCAAAGTTTTCTATATATCTATTTTTACCAAAACCCGTAAGTTTTGCGAATCGTGACATACACAGTCGCAAAAATAAAGATAGCAAACTACAATTTGGCACTTACTTTGGTTCGGTTAAAAAATGGACGTGATCTATTCACATACACGCCCACAATGCAAAGAAAGTTAATACAAGCCGGACAAACACAGGCAATGTTTTCAAATATATTCAAATTTTCGTCCATAACTTTTGATTCGACATATATATTTCTAGAAAAACTGGTACTGATAAGTTCGCCAAATCATTCATGTTTTGTGCAAAAATTATCCCTATTGTTTATCGCTTGTAAGGTCTACAATTAACGATAAACTTTTAATTCCACCTTACTTTCAATTTATTTCCCGTTTATTCCGATGCACATTAGCATTTTCTCCACCCAGTTACAATTAAATTTAAATCGCAATTTTAGAATTGACGAGTTTTGGTAAAAATTTATAGTTATAAGTTATAGTACATCTAGAAATAGCAAATATTTTGCCCAATTCACATTGGCACGGTCAATCAGACTTGAAAAGTCTCGTTAGGTAAGGAACAGGAATCGAGAGTATACATAACAAGACTTCTCAAGTATTATTGACCGTGTCAATGTCAATTGGCCGAAATATGCTCTTTTTATGCACCAGAGACACTTATTTATTTATTTACTTAAATATCATCAGTTAACCTATACAAGCAGTATGCTTAGATTAAAATACAATTCAATGCATGTAAGTTCAAAAAATTAAGCAAAAAAAAAAGATTAATAAAATAAAAATGTAATAAGTTACATAGTTAAATATACATATTTAATACATAGTTACATAGTTGATACATAAGTAAACTGACAGACATTGTGCCAAAATCGCAGATCCTTTCCCTATCAATATTGCTATCAATAATATATGCAATCAGCCATATACCTGTACATAAATATATGTATATAGGTATACGACCAATAACTTAGTTCATGTGTAAAAATTTTTTTTTTAAAGAACGTTACCGCACTAGAAAATAAAACGTGCACATAAAAGTCGCTCAAGTGCCTACGAAAGCTTGATAGACCGTTTAAAGATATTTGATTAATCAAAGGTAGGGAATTAAAGTCTCCCTTTATCAGTTTGAACACGAGAGACATTCCTAACATATGCCTTCTTTTGTCGAGCGCCGGTAAATCAGTTAATTCTAAGCGATTTTCATTGGGCGGAAGAGGTCAACATGTACCTCGCCGTGCTCCACGCAAGGCAAGTGCGTTCTTAATAAATGTTTATTATAAAATTTTAGTCTGTTACAAATTGAAATTCATATCAGGCATATACGTCCAGATTGTAATCTGTATATTATATATCTAAACTTCTAGGGTTGTACACGAGAACAATTTTTTCGATTCAGCTTCAAGTTGATTGCACGATTTTCACTGGTTTTTTTTTTTTTAATCTCTCTTTGAATAGCCTTTTTTCTTGTCATTTTCGTCTAAATCTTCCTCGCGATGAATTTTGCGATGATGTTGCTTATGACGTGGCCGAATCAAGTGTTTGTTGAATGAATTACGCTTCCAAAGTAAAGGCCGGCAACCAAGCCAACTTTTACCTTCATTTTTCTGATATTTTTTTAGATAGCGAATAATCAAGCAAGTGTGCGCTTTCCCAACTTTAGTCTTTGCAAATAGGCTGAGAAAACAAGTATAACTTTGCCCTTTGATAGTGGACAGCAAAGTATGAAAACGTGCTCTAACAGCAACGAACATTTATATAGATTTATCATAAGGTATAGATAAACATACGCTTGTAATGTTGCCTAGTAATACGTTAATAGGAAATAACTTTAATTAGAATTTTACGATTTTTTTTTATTAATTTTGTTTTTTTTATATATACATATATTATCAAAAAAAAAAAAAAAAAAAAAAACGATTCAATATATCGAAAATTTAGCAAAAATATATATCGAAGTTCTAAAAAAATAGTTATAATAACCTTGTATAAAACATTTAAAAAATTCAATTAAAAATTGAACCATAACCATGTCAAAAAGCAAGATTTGAATACGCCTTTTGATTTACAGTTAGTTTACTGGAATACATTAACGATTATCTTTTTGTAATGACTGACTAGCCGACAAGCTTTGTTGCTGAAATTCGCTTAATATACGACTATGCGGTATATCAGTTTCTACTCGACTGCCAATAACATCGGTGGCATTGACACATTGTTCCTGATCAAAATATATATCAATAATTATGCGTACACCTAGAAAAGGCAAACAAAAGAAAATCATTTACAATCTTATTAACTATAAGATAAACATCATTAACATTTACCATTAGCTGTTTTGGCAATTGTGGTTTTACTTTGATAAAATGACTCGATCGTATGACAATTGACTTCATCAGCGCTGTCCGTTGAATGCAATCGACTCCTAGTATTTGTCGCAGTTACATTAGCTTTCTCATTTTTGTTACCGTTTTTTATGCTTGCACACTTCAATGCCAAATCTTTGCAAAGCATACCACTAGAGACGGTACTATTCACGCTATCGCTTCGCGTTGACATTTTGCTGCCTGTCAATTGTTTACGCCATTTATTTTGACAACAGGTACAAGCAGAACAATTTTTACAGCAATTTTTATATGCAGCGGTATTATCGTCCTCATGACCCACCGCCATTTGCGAAGCAAAATTATTGAGACAACAACATGAGTCTTTCGAAGCTGGCAGCAAGTGTTGTGATTGATGTCTTACTAAATTATTTGCTCTCGCATGTTTCAAGCTGTAATTCGCCTTCGCGTTAGTATCGTTTTTGAATGCCGAATTGTAACGCTTAATCATATCGCGTACGGAGATGGGTGCGGCTCCGCATTCCGAATCCGAATTGAAAACGGAATTGGGAAAACCCCCATACGAAGTGCGAGAGTTTCCGCTGATAGTATCCTCATCATCTAGACTATGCGTTCTCAAGCGTGTCGTGTTTAAATCCATGGCATAGACAAAAAAAAAAAAAAATATGTGAAAAAAATTCGTGGAAGTGTTTGAATTTCTTTAAAATTTTTTTTAGAAAAAATATTTTCAAAAATCGAAAATTTTCAATTTTTTTTTTTTCGATTCAGTTTTTTTTTTTTGATATTAACTTATTATAGAAAAATTTTTTAGAGTGGAGAAGATGTTAATACAGAATTTGAATTTATAAATGTCAAAAAGAAGAAAAATTTTAGAATAATTTAAAGAAAAAAAAATCATTCCCATCATTTTGTGAAAACATATAGTTAAAAGAAAAAAAATTTGGAGCTTTACAGCTCTAATCAATTAAAGCAAGCGGTCATCTGGTAACGTCTGTAAGGAGAATAATTTTCAAATTCTTCTTAACTGAGATATCCCTGCAAGCATTTTGCCTTCTCGCACTACAAATTCCACAATATATTATAAACAAGTAGGTTTGGCCGAATCTTCTACAGCCACCCTATAGGTCTTTTTGAACACCAATCTGTGTACAGTGTTTACGCCAAATGCGAAACTAATATATACAGTTCCGGTACTAAGAGAATGTTGATCGTAAACATTACGAAGAAGGGTAGACGGATATGCAGACAACAGGATATGCTTGAGTCGATTCAGACTCTCTCTCTTCCTTGTGTGCAACTGTTTTCACAAAATAATATAAACAGACGTGACATAACATGCACATTTACATAGCATTAACATTTACAACTTTCAGTGAAATTCACTTGTACATAAATCTGAAACTTTGGCCTATAATTCGTGACGATTTAAAGAGTTGGAAACGCTTGTCTTGTTTGAAACTCAGGTCGCAGCGTAAGCCTTAAAGATAAAGGCTGTCTAGCTCTGCTGTGCCCAAAACAAAGTATTTATCGTGTATTGATGGTCGCTTAGCATTCGCAAAAATCGGAACATAGATCGGAAACATTCCCTACGTGTCTTATCCCACAGTCGATAGAAAGCTGTGTTGTTTAGCTAACTGGAAATTTTTGTCGCCGAATCTTGCGCTCAAGTATTTAAAATATTCAATAATTTTTTGACTTTGGTAAAATGGCAAAGCGACGACAAATCAATTGAATAATTATGGAAAGGCGTTTAAAAAGCGCAAACATTATAGAGATAGCATTTTGTTCCAACCTGTTTGTACCTATCACCGAAAGGTGAGGGATATATTCATTTTGTTCAAACATTTTAAGCACCCAGAAGGCATCTTCGGAGATCCCACCAGGTATGTATATTCTTGATCAGCATCAAACTCTAAATTGGTCCGTCGGTCCGTCTGAAATGAAACTAGCTGCTTCAAATTTGGCAAGAACTTTGACAGTTCTTGCGTACAGGTTGGTATTGAAAGTGGGCCAAGGCACAGGCCAGCAGTATATCCAAAGCACTAAAAAATGGTGTTTTTGCTCATTATTCATAAACTACAGAAGATAAATTTACATATTATAATACATAGCACATAATATAATTTTGGTTCAAAACCCCTATAAGGCAGAATTAAGTTTCAAAAAGTAAAGTAGAACGTATAAATTCTTGACCAGTTTCAAATTTGAAATACACCTAAGCTTATCTGTCTGTTCTTCTATCCATCTGTCTGTCTACGAAACTGTGTAGTGTCTGTGGTAAACATTCTCCCATTAGAGAAAGCGAAGATATTGCCTACAAATTTGCAAAAAAAATTTGGAAGTGACCTGAACTTTTCAAAGGAACTGCCTGTACAATGTCTACACGCCTATGCGACAAAAACTTTTATTTTTTTAGAGAGCACGAAAATTTAGTTCTCTTATTTTTTTGTCTTTCTTAGGATAATGGCGATAGGCATAAACAATTTAGTCACGATGGTCAATAATTGAAAAGCGAAGAAATAAGTCTAATATATCGAAAGTAGAAAGTATAGACGTCATTGCAGGAAAATAAACATGAGGCGGACGTATAACGCGGAAAAAATAATAACGCATCATAGATGCGTTAAGAATAAATCAAATAGTTGATTTTGCTACGTAAGTATTGAACCGTTCAGGGTCCACGCTATCGCAGTCATCTGACAGTGTTTTATTAAAAAATAATATTCACGCACTCGTTGTCATCTCAAATCATTCATTACTTCTTTTAGATTGAACAGCCTCTAACTCATTTCTTTTAAATTATGACAATGACTTCAACAGTACGTAAACAATACAGAGAGAAGATAAATTCAGATCAGTATGAATCGATAATCAAATCAATTAATGACACCACGAATCAGAAACTGTTTGAGAAGTAGGTCGTATGATGGAAAAATCGCCTGGCCGATGCTCAATCCACTGATTAAGAAAGAAAAGCAGTTGATAGAAACAAATTCTTCGTATCGATTTGCTCTCTATAAAATAAATCTTTTACTATCATTAATAATACAAAAAAAGAAAGAAGAACACTATAGTGGACGAAGGGCGATTAACGACTCGTTTTGGTAGTAAGAAGCAATTCAAGGGCAGATATTATTTTCATGCGAAGCCATAATTCTAATAAAATCCGGCTTTTGAAAGATTAAATTTTCTCTGCATAAAAGAGTTTGTTTCGTGATTGCGCCTATATATCTTGGAGTCCAAAAAAATTGATCCAAATTCCCTTTCGCTAATTTTTTTGCTGAAACGCTACTATGAATTAATTTTCATCATAAAATATTAAAAATTAAGCCTTCTTCTGAAAAGCTTACTATTCATTAAATGGCTTATATGGAGTGGGGCTAAGAAACGGACCCAAGCGATTCAAATAAGGTCCACCTAATGATTTCCAAATTTAATTTCTAATGAACCAATTTTCATTACAAAAAAATTAACACTTAGACTTTTTTGGCATATACATGGTCCAATTCACAATTATGAGCCAACTGTCACCAAAAGAATATTGGAAATTCTATCTTTTTATCATATAAAGATTCAATTTCCGAACAGCTATATGAGAGCGAGTTCAGAAAATTGTTCCAGCCGGTCCAAAGTTTTCACGTCAATTTAGAAGGCCGAAACCCTATTGCTTAGCCGCCTTTTCCAACAGCATTCGTCTTTGGGCCAAAGTAAGCCCTAGTACCAAATTTCATCAAAATATTCCAAAAATTACGACTTGCAGCTTGAACATAATAATACCTTATGAAAACACACTGTAGAATCAATTAAAATTCACATATTTTTATAAATGAATGAATATTTATTAAATTTTGAAATCGATTAAACCATTTTTTTCGAAATAATTCATTTAACTTTTTCTTATAACGCTTGTATTTTAAATTCCACTTAGTAGTCATTAACAAATGCCTTAAACTGACCTTCATTTCTTTATCAATGTATTTCTAGGAGAGTAGGAGTAGTACACTAAAAGGCGCACCTAAACTATTAAAAAGTACAGTTAAACGGTTTTTTTTTTCTTTTTTGCCTATATGTCTAGATTTGCTTTTATTTGGTATTTAGTATTACATATACCCCTGAACCGTATGCGGCATGTGTAAGTATTTTACTCGATTACATGCTTCATCCTCCCTAATGAACATTAATAAGTTCTTGGGCCAAGGTGTTTATCATACACAGTTTTATATACAAAATGCATGCCAATCTTGTTAAGCGGATCGCTAACACCAGCATCGCTACAACAAATACCTGCTACTTTAACATAATATCGAACGATGTTTTTTGCTTGCAACGGTATTAATTTCACGTTCAAAGCCAAATCATTACATAAGTACTTCCAAATTATTTAATGATGATCTCCGTGAGGTAAAATAGTCAAATGTGGGTATGTCTTGCACGTATAAATAATGCTTATTATTAGTGTTTTGCAGTAATCGTCTCGTACAGATATTAAAAAGCTATACCATACGGGAAATCTTTAACGTTTAGTTAAATTTTTAAGGATTTTGGTGCCTCTTTTAATCCCTTTAAGAAATATTGGACGCATTTATTCGATTATCTTATTATTAATGGCTTTTCTATATATATATATATATATATTAATGGCTTTTCTATATATATATATTGAGATATACACATATATTAGTTGAAAGTAATCGTTGAATTGTACTCTTACAATTTGCGGTTGTTCTTTCTTTAGAGCAGCACTATATGCTGCTACCATATAATATAATTAGACTTAAATGGTGATAGCAAATTCATCTTCTTCTTCTTTCGTATACAGTTTCGGCTGTGTTTATTGAAGTTTGTTCATGGAGACGATTCATCCTCGCGTTTGTAACATTGCAATATGCCTGTCAAACACTTCGCATATTACATATTTTTTTCATTTGGGCTTATTCATCCCTTTGCCTGTTATTCTGCGTTTCTTGGCGCACACTTGAAACTTAGCATATATGCCCGTAGGTAGAAAATTCGCAATCCACAGCCGACAATGAACAAAAACTAACTCTTTGCAAAATCTGAATCTTTATTGGCGAAGAACACACTTGTGATAACCAAGAACCGAAGAAAAAACTCTCTATAAATTTCTCGGAAGCTTATCAAATAGGTGAGCTAAGTGATTTAAATTTACGTATTGATCAGAAGTAGGAGGTGTTAGGGATTCGCCGCAAGGTGATTATAACTTTCCTAATAGCTTTTTATTTCTTTTTTTTGGAGCTAAAATCACAATTAATTTTGAAAGAATTTAATTGACTTTATTTTGAATGTCAAGTTCCGAAGGCATTTTTAATTGAAGTATTTGTCTTGCTAAGCTAAAATGATAAACAGTCTTGTTGAACATATACTGAACTATACACGATGTCGATTATGACAATGGCGTATACTAAAAATACAATAAACAAGCAAGAAGTCAAAGTTAATCAAAGGTAAGCGCCATTCTTGATCATTTTACTAATAATGGTCACATCAACGGGCGATTATGAGGCTTTCGATAAAGGAATGCCTTAAAACACGTTACCATTTCAAGTTTCTTGTTTAGTAATTTTATTTAATTGAAAGTTTTAGTAATAGCAATGCCTGTAGACGTTCAGGTTAGAGAACATCGCTGGGTCGTCGCGATGATAGCAATCAAAAATGCTTACTTCGAGGTATTATGAATATTGTTCGAGGGTTACTATATCTATTTACTTTATGAACAAATAAAAAATAAAATCTCAACTTGAAAAAATAAAGATGGATCTCCTAAAAATTCAACATACATATACATCGACCATTCAGTGTAACTCAGCAACAAACCACTGATTTTATCATAAATTAAAAAGTTTATATTTATATCCACTTACCTACAGCAACCACAAACGTCATAGAGATCGTATATTGTTAATCATGTTGGACATCGAGAGCAATATAATGTCTGTCTGTTTGCGTATTGCACGTTAAATGAAATTATGGTTACTTCAACTTCAAAACTTTGCCTAGACGAACTTTCCTCGTCTCAAATTGTTTGTTCGACACAAGTTAAACTCGAAAATCAGCTTAATTTGTGCGTTAATTCTACCACGATTAGCAAAAACTGACATATTTCTAAATTCATGTGAACCCGAACTTTTTTTTTGAAAAAGGTCAAAGATATGAAATATAGGGTATCCTTGGCTGCGTTGAACTGGTCGTTTATACCTTGTATACAGTGTATAGAGATTTATACAACACTCAGAAGGACGATTTGCAACCACTTTCTGATCCGATCTTAACTTATCTATCCATTTTGTTTCCCTAAGTTCATACTACAAGTCCCAAGTCACAATTTGTGAAATAATTTAATGAAATTTGGTATACCGTCGTGTTTCTACCTACGAACGGAAGATATTAAGAAAGGTTCGGGATGTTCCTCATCGGAGATATATTCCACGTCCTCTATGAAAAGGAATGGAAGAATGTATTCATTTCAAAAACTCCTGAAAAAATACTGAAATTTTACCCTTACCATGCCTTAGTATGAAACAACAAAAATTTTAACAATTTAAAAATGCGATATAATTGCAAAATTGAATCTTTTTATTCCTTGCTACTAACGGCCACTATTTGCTCTAGATCTCATTACGCACGCGATAACGTTAGGTGGCTAAAAAAATATAAAGTTTTCTTATACTCTTCTTGGCATAATTTGGCGCTGTCTCCTCTAAAGGTTAGCGTCAACGGATTTTATGCGGATGCGATGAAATCTCTTATGGGTTCAATTGCAACTAATTTAAATAAAATAAAAATTTAATATAGCTATGTTTTTCGACACAAAAAATTTTATAATTCGTACCTACGAAATATAACATGACCGTTATTGCAACAACTTATGATACCACATGGTACATAAGGATTTGAAACTTCTTCACCAGCCGATAATATAAGATTCTCATTAATTACACATTTTCCGGGGTGCTCTAAATATCATTCAGAAATTAACAAAAAAAAATTAAGCTTCTTTCATAAATTAACTATAAATAATTTCAAGAAATCAACTTTTCATTGAAGCCACTAGCTGATCGGCATTATCTTGTTGACATCGTAGTGGTGCATAGCTGAAAATTAGCTTCCGCTTTTGCATAAGGGAAACGAATTTTTCGAATTTATCTTGAAAATACCATGGAGATCGATCGCTTTCTATATCCTCAATATTATAGATAAAAACTGTTTCTGTAACTGAACTACAAAAACGTATGCAAATTTTTCCAAACCAATAAGATGCTGTATTCTTGTTCTTTTAAAAATGCTACAAATCATCAACACATGATTGCCGTATCAAGTAAAAAAGGTCATGACGCCGCAGGCCAAAGAGACATGGATTTGTATGGCGCTACACAATGAAGCTGCTCCTCTTTGCAGGCCTTAGAATGCAACTCGACTATGTAGAGAGCAACGTAATCGAGCATAATGAAGTCGCGGCTATGTCCAAATTTTCTTGCTAAACCTGAAAGCGATCTCGTTGTGTTTGATTTTTGTCTGAATTTCAATAAAGTTACCGAGTTTTGATTGTAGTGTTTTGTATGTGCCTACGTTCGCCACGTAAATATTACATCTTTAAACAAGCTCACTCTATAACGAACTCTTTACCGTGTGCTTATTGTCTTATTGAAATCTTATGTCGGGCAAAGAAAATTTTTTCTATTTGTCTTTTTTTACGTTCTAGTTTTAATTTATTAAAACACCAATGCGAACAAGAATAAATGCCGAGATCTAATTTTAAAATAAAAACATGAAACTGTTTTTCAGTTTCGACCGCACACTTCTAAACACAACTATATTTACCAGGATCTCTATAAACACCTCTAGTAATTGTAGTGAAACCTTGAACGCTTACAAAAATTATCAAAAAAATTAAATGCTTCATTGCCGCTTGTATTTATGTCACGCGTTGAAATAGAACTGAGAAGTATTTTATATATATGTACATATATATATATATATATATATTTATATATACATGCGAAAGAAATCACACAAAAAGTACGTAAAGTGATCACATAAGTTTCAACGTTGGGTAAAAACGAAATTCACAGCCTTCTCTTAATTGTAAACATATCAAAGAACATTCCAAGAATTTCCAAATTATATAATTTTGTAGAAACCTCCTATCTAACAATTATAGGGAAAAGTGCAAAAATTGAAATATGTTTGAACGACAAATGCGTATAGTATTTAAAATAACAACAACAATAAATAATATTCTTTCAATTTTTCTTTAGCATACAACATTCCTTTCGCAACAATCGGGATAATCGCCATCGGGATTTACATAGTCACCCAATTTACAAGGAGGTTCAGCAGATTGAACGCCGCATCTAGAAGAGTGAAATGATTACACCGGACCAGTAAATTAGAAATAAGATGCACTATTACTTACGTTTGAATTGTAGTGTAACCCTCACCGCCACATATGACCCTCGCACAATAATCGGTATGACGGCGTTGCTCTCCAGCTGATAATATCAAATTTTCGTTTATATAACATTTACCAGGGTATCCTAAATAAGTACATATCAATATTATTTATTTATCTAAATTTGTTCAGCTTTTCAATCTGAGAAAAGAAAGACTATTTACTGGGATCCTTATAAAATCCTCTCGATTCGGCTGCAAACCCAAATGCAAAAATCGCACAAATTATAGTTAAGAGTAAAAAGGTCTTCATCCTTATTTGAGAACGATTGATAATGAAATGATTATTGCAAAATTATAGTAACATATGTACACACAACCTAAACCGCAGCAATTTTAAAGAAACAGGGGATTGCTGATAAGAAAACATTTAATTTAATTCTGTTAGTATATACTTATGTAGTTATAATATTTTTATAATTATCATGTAGAGGTTGATTTTGGATTTTTTGAAACCTTGCTCACAGATAACATATGCAGTCTCTGAAAATACGAAAAGACATTATTTCTTTTCCTTGCTAAGTATCAAGGTTTATACGATTTGCAATTATTAGTGTTCTATCATACGCCAGCAGTTCGCTACACCATGAAATTAATTGATTTTGACTACATTTGATCTCTTCCATCACATTTTTCCTCGCCTAATTATTAGGTGTATATTACTTTTGTAACTTCGTTCATTCTGCCGATTTTTTTCTTAAATAGACTCAAATGAATTCCATTTCATCATATGCACATTAAGTAAGAAGATTATATTCGGTTAAGGCTGGCTATTAGATACCGTACACCAGTCGGTCTGACGCAATCACTAACACGTTTTAGTAATGATATACCATAAGCTACATGTTATTTTGATGCGAAAGCACACTTTTCATGTAAGCCGAAAACTAGTCCTACAGAGTCCAAATTCGGTAAGGTTCATTTCTATGCCAATTTACTATTATGAACCAATTTTCTCCGTGAAATATTAAAAACTATATCTTTTCACTTGGTTCTTGGGAACGGTTATATGAAAGAAGGTTCAAAAAAGTGCAGCAGCCGGTCCAAAGTTTTCACAATTAGAACTTCGAGAGAAAAGAATGCAAACCACAATCAATAGCATTCATCTTTACGTCAAAGCAAGTCAGTGGCACCAAATTTCATCAAAGTGTCTCAACGACATGTAGTTTAAACACAAAAATACATGGACAGATATCAGCCGGATTTACAGCCTCCAGAGTCATATTCTGAATCGATTGGCATAATAAAAACTTCTAGCTCAGGTCCCTCTGCGTGTCACATACCTCCGCATAAACTTAATATCTCCGTTACTAGTACTGCATCTCATTTACTGGTATAGGATAAGAAAAAAAAAATTCGATAAGAATTATTCGAGTCAGCACTTTTCATCTGCTTAACATCATTAGAAGTATCGTCGTATCGTCACGTAAGACAAATTAATTTTCTGCTTCTTCAACGTGCCAATATCATGTGTTTTTCTCCGTCAGTACGATACGAGATTTTAAAGCTCTGATAAAATCCTGCAAATAGCTAATCCTACTATTGTATCTATTGCACTAAATTCGTTGCCAAATGGATAATGGTACTGAATAGATTTTGCGCAGTATAAAGATTGACCTTAAGTGAGTGGTCCCCAATGGTCCCAAGTCGGAATTAAATTTGTTATACGTGATTACCTCCCAGCTGATCTACTAAACTACGAGCAACGAAAACCTACGCCTTATTTTCCTGCTATACTGCCCTTTGGCAACTCTTGTGCAGAAAGCGTCGTTTTATTATAAAAATTATAAAACCGGTGTAAATCCTACACGTGCTTTCTTTGCGTAGACTTTTCCTAGAAATGACATCGACTGGAGCAAACGTTAATCCAAACACGTTAACAGAAGATGCTCAAGGAGAGCAGGTAAATATGTACAAATTGCAGCAGCTAGAGGAAGAAGCGTTGAAGCTGAAATATCCGGGAACTGCTGAGAATACTACTGCATTCTTACACAAATGCCTACAAAAAGGACAGAAATTTTTTGATTCTGGTGATTACCAAATGGCCAAGCAGAACTGCGGTGTGATTAATGGAGTAACCGTCGGGCAGGAGATACCCACACCTGAAACGTTGTATGCTAATAAAAGCTTAATTAAAACTCGGACTTCAAACTGAACTGCGATTCGTTCCCGTTTAAAAATCACTACCAGTTCTCCGAAATCCGAAAAGCAATATTTTTTCAAAAGATCTGATTATTATGTTTATCAACTTCCAGCTGATATTGCAATTCATTAAAACTTAATATGATTTTTGGAACGCATCAGTAAACATAAAAGTTTTGTTTTATTGGGTCTCTCCTCTCATCAGAGCTCTCTTCCCGTTAAAAGGGATTTAAAAGCTATAATTTATGATGCGGTTACTTATTATTGAGGTTAAGTCCCTTAAATCTTACACTTTATAAACTTAGGTGCAAAATGCGCTGCATTTTCATTGGAGTACAGGTTTGATTCCGAAATAAGTTTTTAAGTCAATAAGATTTGTTTTATCAAGCCGTGATCCTTTTTTAAAAGGCAGCAGGACTGACTTAGATTTTAGAATACCCAGATCGTCCCAGTGAAATAAATGCCATATGGCACGAGAAAAAGTAAGAAACATTTATGAGTCCTCTTTAACATACATAAATTGGATGGTGTGTTACAAGTGACATTTTTGGACTATATTTTAAGGTGGTAAGAAGTTTTCGTGAAATGTGAACTTTCTTAGCGAAAAAATACAGGCAGGTTTAAGCTTGGGGTACCTTCATAAAAAGTTGAAAAATTTTAATTTATAGTAATTTCAAAAATTTTAGGCTTTTAGAAATATTAGATGTCGATGATCCTCCCTTTTGATGTTACTCTTTCGAAAGGAAGATGTTAAAATGATAATACGGTACGTTTGAGAGTTTTGTGTGTGAACCCGCTTCAGACAATCATTAGAAATTAACGGAATTCTCTTTACTTAAGAACGGCAAGATCCTTAATTTTAATAAGTCTTTCAATTTTTACAGTTCCTTTTTTTCTTGATCCAGTCCACAATGCTGTTATTCAGAGAAATGGGAACAAATTTATCGCTAATCGCTTTTTTTTCTCTTTCGTCTTGCCCAAGAGGTGATCACCTTGCCCATAAATAGTTTCTTATTGTCTTCCGCGATTCGCTTCAATATCATCGCTTAGGTTATTTTAACCTAATAATAATACGCACTATCGAAAGAAACTTATTTCTATGCTCTTGAAAAATGGGAAATAAACAAATACTAAACCATGAAAACAAAGAGATTTTTTCAAACTAACTAGCCGAAGGGGAGGAAACACTGGTGTTACATATATTAAACGTTCTTAGAAAAATGACTTGAGAAATTATTATATAGACATCGGAAATTTATAGTACGCGGGAAGACCTTATATAGATGCACGAGAGACGTGCTATATACGAACGATATAGGTACTTTATAAATACAAAACTTTTATTATATCCATCACCGAAGGATTTGGTATGTGTTTATTTTGTAAAGAAGTTTGCAAGTCTAAGAAAAGAGATTTCCGAGATCCTATAAATAGTACATATACTCCCGATCAGTATCGAATTCCGAAGCGACCTAGACCTGTCTCTCCGACAGTCTGTCCGTCTACGTTCTTGTATTCTCCTAATCGTAGGAATGACATCGGATTCACTTTTAGCAAAAATACTGGAATCTCTTGCTCAGAGATTAATATGGAAAATGGGGCAGGTTTACAGTGTAACATGAGCTAAAAACTTCTTTGCTTTTAAAATTCAAAAAAGTTGGCTTTGTTGCTCGTTGTTAGTAGACTACAATAATAAAACTTTGTACATTCTGTTTCAAAAAAAAAATAGTTGATGCAAGAGATTCGACCACAGCTGAATATAACTTTCTTGTACTCTCTCCCTACATAGGAATTGATTTGCGCTTACTTGCTTTTGCGAATCCTTAAATCGTGTAACTTTGAACAATTTCCCCCGTTCAACCTTAGCTGCATTTCTGCCTACACTGGCCAGCACTTTAGTAAATAAGCGGCAAATGCCTAAGCTATAAATTCCCAATAAAGTAGCATAGCAACCAATTTAATTTTATTACAAGCAATATCAAAGAAATAACGGAATGTGAGATTACTTTTCGCACTTTTCCTTCTTTTGTCTTTTGAGCTAAGCGTTCGATGTCATAGTTATCACCGCAGATTTTTTAGGCTTGTGAATCTACCTTTGCGTCCACCTAAACATAATAAAACACATACAAAATAAACCAAAAAGTCGTATTCAAATCAAAACATAGAGATATTAAAGTAGTTGTTAATTCTCGTTGTCTCGCTGGGTGGACGAATACTTTTTTTTTCTATCACCGAAAGATGACGTCCGAACGTTTGCAGCACCTAGAAGAAAACTTCAAAGGCCCCCCAAAGTGTATATATTTTTGATCAGCACCGAATTCCCCCTTTTGAAAATATGAAAATATCGCCTACAAACTTGCAAAAGAATTTGAAAGTGAACGAAGAACACGCTTACAATAGTCACACACCTGCATAACAAAAACTGTGAACACTTTTGGTTTCCCACTCTCTTACGCCTTGCTCATAAATTACAACAGAAACGCGGTGTAAATTTCCACAAAATGGTTTTACAAAATTAGGACAACGGCGAGGGGTATAAAAAATTCAATCACAATCAAACATAACTTGCTTACCCAAGTTACAAAGTTTTATTTTAAAGTCTCTTATAACCTAAATGGCTTTAAATATTCTGGTGTCTTTCAAGGCAGCAATAAACGGGCAAGAATAAAGGTCCTTAGAAATTGACTACAAGATAACATATTTTTTATTCGTTCCTTGAGTTTTATTCCCGTATTCGTAAATTCGATAGGTATAAATGTTAGGCGCATGAAATATATGCCCATGTCATAACATCAATTGAAGCGCACAACACTCGGACGTCATCAACGACTTAGTTTAGGTTTAATTTTGTACTAGATTCATGAATCTGAACCTCCTGAAAAGTTAAACTCTAGATAGAAATTTTTAATATAAATATATTTTTATGAGCACTGCTTGGCGACGGCACAGTGAGAAGTGTCTTCAATTGTATATATAAACGAATTTCCAAAGTTTCGAAACTATTCATCGGCGGTTTATGTCAATATAATTTTATTCGACTTAATCAGACCAACACAAAATTTTCTTTTCGCAACACAACGGAAAGGGAGCTGAACGGTTTACGTAGCCAAGAATTTTGCATGTTGGGTGAACACCTTGAGTGATACATCTGAAAAAGGGATGCGGCAATAACTTAATTGAAAGTGTTTCAAATAGACCTAGTAACAATTAATTACCCTGTAATCAAAGCTACGCCGAAATGAGCACATTTAATTAAGCCACAAATATCTGAAGTTGAAATTTCTTCCCCAGGTGCTAAAATTATATTTCGATCAATAACACATTTTCCAGGGTGTTCTAAACACATAATTAAAAATGGATAAATCATTTTTGCGAAGAGATCAGAGGATTGTCTTACCAGGATCTTGAAAAAATTGAATACTTCTTGACGCCAGAATAATCGGAATTAATGCCAAAGTTAGAATTTCAAATATTATTAATTTCATAGTTTCAAATGAAAATGTAAAAATTTCCAAAATATATGTATATTTGTATGTATTGTACGAATATAATTACTACTTAAAGAAGAGTAGTTTTTTATTTTTTTCGAAAGATTTCAACCATTTTGGGAATAGGAGCTTAAGAACAGGTACAACCACTAATTTTAGACAGATTCCGGTGTACATAAACAAATTACCTCCACTTGACCCTCTTTTATTCAGAATCTTTATATACCGTTTCAACTATATTCATAAAGAAATTGTAATCTTCGACCGATTAGCCTCCTACCCTGCCTAAAACTAAAACATTCTTCTTCAATTTTCCTCTGTTGTGGGGTCATTCAACATCTATATAAAAATATCTAGGTATTGCATTGATTTTGTAGATTCAATGCAATGTGTTGGGGTAACTCTCGATTGCAAACTTAACTTTGACCCCCATGTTCACACCGTCTGTGTTTAACTTCGTTTTACGTTCTAAAAACTGTAAAATCTAAAGCTATATCTGCCTCTTAAGGGTAAACATCTAAAGGGTAAGCATCTAAAATTCATGTTGCTTATCTATCTCCACAAAATCATTCAAACTCGGTTCTCAAGCCTTTTAATTGAACGATTGCAGTTCTCTAGATCGAATAAAAAGTCTTTCATATTAATACCGCTACCGTCTATCTAACTCATCAGACTGGCAATCTTTTACCGTCCGTGTTGCTAGCTATTGGAATTACCGCATTACCACTAAGTCTGAAATCCTTTGCTGATTTTTTGAATAAGTTTAGAGGAAAGTTGACCGCACTGCTAAACTTTTAGTGTATATTTGAAATTGATAATTACGGAGTTTATGGAGCAAACTGATTACATCAACATCCATCTAGTTGACTTGCATACTCATTTATGTTATAATTTTTTTTTGCACATGAAATGTACTTACGTAAGTAGGTAATATACTGTGAGAACTGTGAGAAAAAAGAAATTCCTCCCTCGTTTTGGCCTAACGGTTTCTCCGTCTCTGGGTGGGGGGAGAGAGCTAGTTTAAGTTAGAGAGTAAGCTAGTGTGGGATAGGGAATAAGAATAGAATAAGATTAGGGTAGGAATACGGTAAGAATAGAATAGGAATAGATTAAGAGTAGAAGAAGAATAGGTTAAGACTAGGATAGAGTAGAATAAGTTAGAATAATTTAGAGTTAGTCTTAGTTTGGAGTCGGATTTGAGACTTGGTCGAGGCTGGACTCCCGCGAGAGTCGGTCGCGTTTCGATAATTATAGAATAAAGAGTGAAATAAAGATCCCTTGCGAATATAAAATTTCTTGTGTTTTCCTGGGCCGCTGAGCTACCCCACCCCCAGCGAAAGGCCCTCACAATACCTTTGGCTTTATAGCTATAGTGTAGTTGATAAATCAATAGATGAAATGTAACAAATGAAATTGTGTTCTCGTACCTGAAATTTGCTTTTAATTGAGCTATAGTTGGTATACTCCCCTGTTAACACAAATTCATGTAAAGTTTTTTAGTTATAGGTTAGATTAAATAACCTTAGATCTCATACTTGACAGTGCACATGCAGAATATGGGAACGAAAACGAGCACTTGCAATTGCCAAAAATAACACAATCATAACCTTATAAAACAATTTTTACATATCACTTGCTCTCAACATTGTGGTTTGGTGCTGCATAAGAGTGGAACTAATGTTAAAGAATATTGACTATTTCCAAGTAGATTACATATTATTCTACTGCTACTGCGGAAATTGATTTAAATTAACTGTATAGTGTTAAAGAAAAGTCTTTTAAGTTTATTGAAAGGTGAAAGAATATCAAAGGTGCAAGTTTTGGAGGCTTTTCGTTTGGTTGAAAATGCTCCAAACTTTAGGGAACTTTAATTCATAGAAGAAAATCCGAAAATGATTCGTTTGAAAAGCCGAGATGTAAAATAGCACAAGAAAATTAATTCGAAGCACGAGAGAGATAATATTGATTCCAGTTACGTGGCGGACGTCATAACACGTAAAATATTTATATTTATATGCGTAACGTTTACAATCAAGCCATCTGTTACCTTTATTAAGATTCAAAGAAAGAACTTCGTGCTCATATTGCACCTCTTTTTTCTCAACTCTGCAAGTCATCTGTTGTTGATTTGCTGACTCACAAAAGAAGAAGAAGAAACATTCAATCAATCATTCAAATTATAAATTTGGAGAAAATTTGCGTGGACCTGATAACAAATTAATCAAGAAACAATTTTAAAAAAGCTTTATTGGTTTACGTGTGTATACTTTTCGAAAAACGATGAACTGTTCGGAAGCAAGTGGTAATCAGCCGTCAGTAGTTCAAGAGGAAATGACCGAAACTACAGAACTGAAAGAAGAGAAACTAAAATCAAAGTATCCGATAGACTTGGGAAGTTCTTCGGGCAACACAGCATTCTTGCAGAAACGCTTCCAGAAGGGGCAAAAATTTTTTGACTCTGGTGACTACCAAATGGCTAAGCAAAAATGTGACGATACGAAGCAAACCTTTGCGAATGATATTACCACTGGACAGCTAATACCTACACCTGAAACCGTTCCTGTTCGAAAAACTTCGATTATACAATTTCGTAATAAATTTCAAAC